AGAGAGAGAGAGAGAGAGAGAGAGAGAGAGAGAGAGAGTCAATTCCATAGTAAAAGACAATGCTTTGGAATATATAGGGAAATTATACAATTGCATAAATTAGGAATATGATAATATTTCTAGCTGAAATCCATAAGACAATCATTATTATTATTATGTTATGGATGATAAATATTAAGCTATTGTGTCCAAAAAAATGAAAACACTAAAACTAAAATGAACATATAATAGGAACAGATAAATATTCAATTTGAAGTGAGACAAAAAATATGTTTTTATAATACAGGAGTAACCTCTGCAATACTGGTAAGATATTAAAACTCTGGTTGGAACATAAATAACAGAGATATACAGTAACCAATAGATCTGAGTAATCGGTTCAGTATGAGACAGCTGTATGGGGTATAGGCTGAAACAAATATAGATAAATATGCAGTATAAAGTAGCACTGACAACTGTAATGCACATTACATCTGGAGCCCACAGAAATGAACAACAACAACAAAGGCTTGATTTTAGACACTAGGTGAACATTTGCACATTGGCTAACAAGATGGATAAAAGAACAAAGTGAATTCAGAGCTGAAGTAGGTTTATTATGCATTTCCAAGTAACATTAATAAAGGTTGTTTTCCTTTTGTCGAGTAACGAATTTAACCCTTTTTTTATAATACTTACTGCACTGTTTTTGCTGTATCGTTGTTAGAGAAAAATGCTATCATTATTACAGCTTTAGGCAGAAATGAGTCCACAGTTAAATATAAAAGATATTAAAGGGGTCATATGATGCTTTTTTAAAGATCATTATTTTGTGTATTTGGTGTAACAGAATATGTTGACATGCTTTAATGTACAAAAAACACATTATTTTTCAAATACTGTACATTATTGTAGGTCCTCTATGCCCCGCCTCTCTCAAACACTTCGTTTTCTACAAAGTCCCTCCTTCCGACAAGCGCAGTCTGCTCTGATTGGCCAGCTGACCCAGTGCATTGTGATTGGCCGAACACCACAAGCACTCGTCGGAAATGTAACGCCCCTTACCATAATCGCCAGCTTCATCTTTCAAAATAAATGTAAAGACAGTAAATAATGTCATTAGTTTTACCATCAGTTCAAGCCTGAAAGGGGAACAGAGTCGCGTGACAGACACAGTGATGAAGCTGGGATGTGTTTGCAGTACACAAGCCACGGTTAAGACAGCTGACTCCACTGTGATGTGACGCTCTCTCTCTCTCTCTCACACACACACACACACACAGTACACACACAGTACACACACACACACACACACAATGCGCAAAACTCCTCATTTGAACAGTCAATAGCAAATACTTAAACTAATAACAAAACAGTAGCTGATTAAGAAGTGCCAAATTGTCATAGTAAAGTCAGAATGACCTCCTCTCTTAGGTTCACGAAACGGTCGTCCATAAAATGCATTGCTGTTCTGTTGTAAGTAATCTTACAGATTCCTAAATGCATCTACTTCCGGAAGGCCAAATAAAGTGCTTTTGCTTTCTCCTAGAAAAACACAGCGTCTCCCTGACATGCTGCTTCAACACTAACTGCGGTTACTGAAACCACGCCTTCTTTCTTTGCGTGAATATTTGGGCGGCATTATACAAATATTTCCACATAGTGAGGTAGATATGTGGGGGCGTGTTAGAACGAGCCGTTTTAGGGGGGCGTGGCAGAGTCTTAACTTTGATAAAGAATATCTCTTTGGTTTTGAGACTTTAGTCTTTGCAACTTCAGGGAGCTTATCTATGCACAATCAGCTTGTAACACTCCAAAGAGAAAGTAAAACTTGAAATCGCATCATATGACCCCTTTAATAATTAACATCCATTAATGTTGACAATACCTAATATGGTCACAATATACTACACATAAATGGGTTGGCAAAATATTGTGCACAAAGCATAAAAACTACTTGTGTCTTATGTTACATGTATGTTGCAGACCAACTCACAGCTCTGTTGTAAGTCCCTTTGAATAAAAGTATCAGCGTTAATTTATTAATGTAATGTAGGTATACTCCTACACACTCTTTATACATGTTAAAGGTTATGCTTGTCTGGACTAATGGGTGCAGTCTCCATTAAATCATAAAGAATGTAATTTATGTTTAATCGTACTGATTAGCTGACACACAGAATAATTTCTAGCAATGTGACATGTACATTTACACATACATTGTCATTTAGCAGACGCTTTTATCCAAAGCGACTTACAAATGAGAACAATAGAAGCAATCAAAACGTCTCAGGTTACTTATGTAACCATGGTTCCCTGAGTAGGGAACAAGACACTGCGTCCTCTAGGGGTCGCTATGGGGAACGCCTCGTCGTGACCCGTGTCTGAAGCATACATTGAAAAAACACCAACTTGTTGGCCGGCGACAGCCATGACGTCACTACCGGTGCGACTATAGTATAAATAGGCACCGGGAGCTACACATCATTCACTTCTTTGTCTGAAGCAAGAGGATATCCTGGTGATCGGGAAAACCCCTCAGAGCGACCCAGCTACGGTAGACCAGTCAGGGTAGCATGAAAGCACAACCCCAGCCCGGACATCCAGGAAATTTTTGTAGTGACACGCCGGGGGCCTGATAATCACAATAAAACCCATTATAAACGAGGCATTTGTTGCATCCAGTGGGGACATAATTACTGATTATGTACTGACTTGTAGAGTCTGACTTGAAGACTTGTACTGTCTTTTTACATGTTGTGTTGCATCGCGCTGCGTAAACATAAAACCATGTCTGCATTTGTGATCGGAGAAATGACAAACAACAAGCGCTACTCTACACTGCCCAAAACTCACGTTTGAATCGTCAGTAGCAAATCCTTTAAATATGAAAACGTACTTACAGGCTGTGAGTCAGCATTATTTGTCAGAACACCGGCATTGTAGTCTACTCTCCCAGGAAACAGTCCTCGTCCTCCGTAAAATGCGCAGCACACATCTGAATATTTGGGTTGAAGTGTTCTGGAACAGTGTTGTAAATACAACTTAACCACGGATTTCTAGTTGTGTCCTCTTTTGGAAGACCAAACAAAGTAGTTTCGCTTTCACAACGAAACACACAGTGTCTCCACGACATGGCAGCAGCAGCAACAATACTACAGTGAGAATAAAAGTTACGCCTTCTTTCTTTGCGTGAACATTTGGGCGGCATTATGCAAATCTTCCCACATAGTGACGTAGACATGTGGGGGCATGTTTAAACGAGGCGTGGACAAGTCTTAACTTTTATAAAGAATATCTAAGAATATCTTTATAAAGAATATCTCTTTGGATTTGAGACTTTAGTCTTTGCAACTTCAGGGATCTTATCTATTCACGAACAGCTTGTAAAACTCCAAAGAGAAAGGAAAACTTGAAATCGCATCATATGACCCCTTTAACTCTATATAGCTTCAAAACAAACAGGTAAAAAATATTTTTTTCTCAGACAGCAGTGGGTGATTCTTCTAATTTTTCTTAGCATTATTGCTGTTTGATAATTATTGCTGACATCACAGACATCAGCAGGTCTAATCAGCAGCAGTTACAAAAATGTACCTGTTTAACTAAGTGGTGTTTGTTAAACAAATAGTGCACAAGAGCAAATTGAGGGCTTTGTAATCCCAAGTAAAAGTAAATTCCCCTGGGAATCGCCACCTTGATTGTAAATGAAAAAAAAAATCACTTCTTTTGTACACCTTGTTGAAGTTGCTCTTTTTGCTTTTGTTCAGAAGGTCCCTATGAATAGAGCGGCCTTCCAGCAGCACCCTTCAAGAGTGCAAAAATCCATTTAAATTCACTCAGAGAGTGTCACGTTCTCAACAGATATTGGTAAAA